AAAGCTTGGTTACCACAGTTTTGTGCAGATGGATTCCAAAAATCTGACAGAGGACCACAAAAATCAGCGAATGGCTGCAGCGTTGAACTTTTTGGACGCTTACATAAGGATGGTGACTCTTTACTACTCGTCGCATCGTTACTGGTGACGAAACATGGGTGAAACATGTGAACTGTGAAACGAAATTGCAATCAATGCAGTGGGGGCACACAAGTTCTCCCAAACCCAAGAAATGCATGCAACAATGTCGGCAAGGAAGATGATGGCGACTTTTTTGGACAGAAAAGGGTAATTTTGGTGGCTCCTGGAAGAGGCACTACAATAAACTCTCAAAGGTTTTGCCAACTCTCCAAACAGAAGAGCAATTCAAAACAGCCGAGGAATGTTGAGCTCTAAGATCTTGTTGATTCACGACAACGCCCGGCCCCACACGGCAATGTACTCGTAAAGTTTTGATCTTTAAGTGGGAGTGTTTCCCCTCCGCGTACAGCCCGACCTGGCACCGGCGACTTCCCACCTATTCCCAGCAATAAGAAGTGGCTGCTATGCAGCGTTTTGATGACGACGCCAGCTGCAAGAAGAGGTAACGAAGTGGTTGAAGGCGCAGCGGCCGAATTTTTCGACGAAGGATTCCAAGCTCGTACATCGCTACGATAAATCCTTAATTTGTATGGTGACTATGTAGAAGTAGATTGAGTGTGGCTTTCATCTGTAAGAATAAAATTTTTTCTATAACTTGTTTATTTTTTTATTCCAAAACGTAATCTACTTTCTGGATAGCCCTCGTACATTTAGTAGGGAATTATAAGCCAAATAAAATGAAAACATCTGCCCTGCTGAAGATAAGGATAGTGCTGACGGATCAACTTCCAATTCATTGCGCGCCCCGGCGTTTCCCCCCCTCCCAGCCACAGAGCAGTGTGAAATTGATAAACAGATTTCGGAATGGTTAGAGAAACAAAGGATATGCCTTTATCCATTTTTTTGCAGCAATTCCACTTTTTGTTTGATGGACATCGAAACATACTTTCGCTTTGTGAATCCTTTGGGAGTTCCAGCATCGGAAATTCTATTTGACATAATCGAAAGTTCAAGCTTACTTTTATAAAATTGCTCTAACAGTCTGCAAAAAATAATAAGCCGGATCCAATTCGAAGATTAAGGAACAACGCAATCTGCAACATTAACTGAAATAGATAATTAGATAATTTTAGCTTATACCGTCCGTTATACATTAAACGCGTATGCGTAAACATATTATGCGCACACGCACAGCCGTAAAGGTCTTACGCGCAAGCGTCAACGCGACGCAGGCGCAGAAAGTTTGTAGCTTTGAGGTCCGGATTATAGATCATTCCGGATTATGGGTGTCTGAATTAACGACTTTTGACTGTATAATACCAAAAGGCTGAGCGAATAACATGTCTGTATTCTTAGGCGTTAATGACCTGTAGTCAGTGAGATTTTGCATGACCCCTATGGCCTTCTTCCACCAATCATTTTCATATAGGGCCAGTATAGGGGCTCTACAGAGTCCACAGTTGTGGGGGACTACAGCTGGAGCATCATGCATAAATATTAATAACAATAACATGAACTCCTCATTGAAGCAATACTTTTGTACTCTAAACCTTTTTAAGCTTGCGTGCACTAAAATCGAAATAAAAGGGTTAGTGATGATAAATTATGTAACAGTTTGACCATGCTTTATAAGGGATAATTTTCAAAAGGAACCCTGTTAAAGGGCCTTCATCTCCTGATTTGCAAGAAACCTCGAAATTTCTTCAACCAACTCTGAATGCTTATTTGCTTGACAGCCGTGACCAACATGAGTAGCAATGTCACAGAACAAAAAAAAAAAAAAAAAAAAAAAAAAAAAAAAGTCCTGATAGGCCACAGTCGAATTCGGACACATGCTAGTAGGAATTTCTCCTTCTTACAAGAGGCATTATATAACTTTTACACAAAAATTGCCTTGATTATTACTTCATATATGATTTCCAAATGAGAATCTTGCTGTGCAAGCTTCCCATTCGTACACAATGCAGATGGTGTTACTCACATCTGCTTTGTGTGCAGGCACTGGAATGGTAATCATTTGCATTTCTCAGTATGTATAACTCTTTATGCAAAATTTGATATTTATTGTATGCCACCATCATGGTGTAGCAATTTTAATTACTGCAATAGCATACTAATGCAGCAAAGCAGGAAATGAATATTAACGATTATTAATAATGACTAAAAATTATTTGAGAATAAAATATTACTGGTTTCATTAATAGACTTTAAATAGTTATAGGTTGTATGTATAAGTTTAAAAGTATATCATACAACAGTAAATAGTATAACACAAATAATAGAAACATAATAGAAACAAAAATATCTTGAAAATATATTGAATTCAAATTTATTATGAAAAACAACCATGATTTTCAGGCATTGAGTATTTTTCTAATTAATCTTATTCATTGAGCTTAAAAATTTGACATAAAACATGTTAAAACCACACTTGTCTGAACTTTGCAAACTAGTATTTAGAATCTGAAAATTACATCTTTACTTTATAACTCATCTGACAAAAAAATAATACTGAATTTGTTTCAGTAATAATCAAGTTTGTGTATTATTTTGTTATTAAATACTGGACTTTTAAATCTGTACCATTATTTCAAGATACTGGTACTATTTGCATTGCCATTACACGAAAAGTAAATAATATTACTGATGCTGAAACAATTTTTACTTTAATAAGCGATAAAAAGAATAAATAGTACTGCTTCTAAAGATAACAATCAGTCTATAATGGAGCAAAATATTCTTAATGATAAAGAACATATATGGAAGCAGCATATGTAGGAGATGATTTCCATGTGTATGCAAGAGAAGATTCCAGAAATGGAGAATCATTAAAAAGGCTCTTTGATCTCATGAAAACACAGTTGGAATTGTCAAAAAAGATGCAGATAATCAGAAAAAGTTAATTCAAGAGAAAGCAAGAGTTACATAGTAAAATAAATTGTAATAGATGTGAAAAAGTATAATGAAATTTACAGATTACATTGTATGAAAATTACTGCAATAACTTCTGTATCAATACATTTGCTCATATGTTTCTTAAACACACTGCCATTACTAAGCCATAGTATAATATTTTATTTTATTATGGCAACAAAATGTAAAACATTTTATTTTACTAATATAAAACTTCAAATATAATTTTAAATGATAACAACTGTGATTTTTTATTAGATGCTACAATAACAGCTGTTCCAACAACAACACTTTAATTATCAGCATACAGAAATGATTTTCATAACATTACTTTATTACAAGTAGATTATACGTTCTATGATATACAAACTTGCCAAGTTCTTGACTTGGTAAGATTTTATCGTAAAGAACTCGAACTCAATCATTTCTTTGCTAAAAATGAAAAATACAAGTCATTTACACCTATCATAAAAGAAAACTAAAAACCAATGTTACAGTTTTACACCTTGTAAATGTATACGCATGATGGGAGGGGGGGACGCAAGACATGGAATCTACAGACACATAAAACCATTTATCACATAAAAATTTATTTTTTGTTTTACTATTAAATCAATAATCCAAAAGCTGAAACAAACATCAATAATGAGCCTCAGCTATCTGGGACAAACACCTTTACAGTAGATGAAAATAGATATGATTGTGAGTGGTCATCTTAGAAACAGTGCATTATAATTTATTTTTTCACCAGATAATAATTCGGATTCAGAACTATTTATTACTCATGCCTTTGATTTTTTTTAAATGTTTAATCTTTTAATTAATGTTTAATAAAATTTGAAATTAGAAATAATCTAATGTCACTTACTCCTTGCCTCGTCATAGAATTTTTAAAAAATTCTAATTGTTAATTATTTTACAATATTAATTAAAATGGAGATACCCAAGAATAGAGCAGACTTACTAACCATTTTAATACTAGTAGTATTATGAACCAAGCATGTAAAATTCACACAGAATGTACAATATCAGCATTGATTTGCATTATATATACCTGCATATTATAATATGTAATAAGAAGAAATTATATTCAGAAACATATAATTTTAATTCATACTAACCTCCAGGGAAAAACCAGTCAACATATGTTATCAAAGTGTCCACAATAGAACTATGAAGATTAGTAGCTGTCATATTCATCCTAAAAATATTAAACCATTAACATTTTATATTAAAATTTGAAAAAATAATCTAAGATGATCACAGTTAGTAAACTCACCTATACAATGTTTAAAAGATTTACTTAACTTCTAATAAAAAAAACTAAATTACAAAATATGCAGAATTATTTAGTCATGAGTTTTTCTGTATAGTAACATATGTTTTGATGAAGATTTCAATTAGTTTTGCTTCATTTAATAATGAGTTTTCTATATAGTACACATTAAATTTTTTAATTAAGAGTTCAGTTAGCTTTGCCTTGCTTTCTCAATAAGTATATTGTTTAAGAATGAGCATTATATTTTTGTTATAGTTCAAACCAAGTAAATTAATTTTAAGAAAATAAACTAAAATTTCAGAACTTAGAAATTTATGATTTCTTTTACTTTCATTAATTTTTAATTAGAATAACTATTAAATAACATCAATAAAATTCAAACAATGAAAAACTTTTACTTAAAAAAATTCACTATAAAGATGCCATATAGAAACTACTAAGAAATTAAAAGAAACCAATTTTAACACAATTCTGTCATTATTAAAGCAGTAGCTTTAATAATGACAGAATTTAGAATCTAATTCATTCAACATACTCAGTAGAGATTCTTCAATACAGATGCTTCAAAACTGAGCAATGTAAGAAAGAAAGGGCTCACTTTATACATTTCATAAAAATATATATATGATATGAAAAACATTTAGCTAATATTGATATAATCAATTTAGCAAACAGGTAGTTAAAAGAGTGAGTGTAATATTTATATAGACACTTTACCACAAAAGACTGCTAATTTTTTGACAGATCAATTCAGAATCAATGGGTTAACTTTTTGAGGGGCAGGAAAAGGCAATTAACTTTTTCAGCAAAACACTTGTTTTATTTACTATATCAGGTGTTACAATGAAATTATTTGTGAGAATTATACATATTTTGCCAGGAAAGCAATCAATGCAATTCTGTAGGCAAATTTTAAAAATAATGTGGTGGCCACCATCTTTAAGTAGCTTAAGGGTTTCTTTATGGATTCTGACACATTTCTTTTTTTGGTACTCTGTTAGATTATAGGGAACCCAACAGCAAACTAGTTTTTTCATATGCAATTCTTCATAAATAATTTTACACATGGTGGCGGATCCAATGTGAAGTTCTTTCTGTATCATTTGGTAGGTGCAGCAATTATCATTGATTAGCATTTTACATACGCCAGACGCATTACTGCTGACAACAGCCTTCTCATGTGCTCTTCAACTGGAAAAGCGCTGCAATCTCTGTGAAATTCTGTAAAACATCTAAATACAGTAGCATGAAGTGAACCTTCACTTCTAAATGTTAACTGTAGACATTGAATGTGAAGGCATTCTTCTTGATTTAATCCCACTTTAAAATCATAGAAAACCATAATGCAATAATGTTCTCACATCAGCTCCATTTTTCCTTACAGCTAAAATTTATTCTATGACAAACTAATTGCAATTGCCCAATAAAAAATCATTTGCTAGGCTAAAACAGTTCAAGTTTTCAAATATAACCGTTAATTTTTTCCTGCCACTTATTGTCTGTGCATATCTCAGAATCTTCAGAGTGATCTACATATGAGTTATTATATCACTCAATGGTAATCCATTACCCATTAAACTTACAGCAGTAAATTACACAAAATAGTCCTCTTGTAATGTTTATTCTAAATTCAGCAATAATGAAACTAACTGATGATTTTGACAATGGTATTTTTCACATTCAGATATACATTGCAATTGAAAAGAATTATCAACAAATGATTAATTATTTAATTTATTAATAAAATTATTTTTGCTAATCCAGTTTATTTAAAGTTTACATTTAGATGAACTTTTGCAGCTATAAACTTACCCCAAAGCACATTCTTCTACAGGTGGCCACAATAAATTTGGACCAATCACAATAGAGATATTTTGAACTGACATTTTGTTTACATCACTATTTTTACACAGTTTAGCTAGAAACTTTATGAGATACCTAAATCAAAAGCAGAAAATAATATGTATGAAATTACTATGATATGAAAAGTAATGAATAAAGTAATTTCTAACCATTATATGCACACATTTACCTGAGATTTTTCAAATGAGCTTCAGGAAGTGAATTAACTACACTCCACAGTGCCCTCAACCTTGTGTCATGGTCGGCCTCTCTTTAGGAAAGAAAACATAAAAATCAATCACCTAAAACAATTTCAAAATTAAATGTTTACGGTCTAAAAGAACAAGAACAATAAAAAACGACCCGTACAAAATTACAGATTGTTCCATTTAACTTGGAATTATATTAATTACTCGAATAATTAGTTATACAATAGAATTCTATTTAAATAAGAAAATCTTCAAAGTGCATATTAAAATCTACTTTAAGAAAGCTATGAACACTTTAAGAAAGCTAAGAAAGAAAATTAATGTTCTTACTTCAGTTTGTGTTTTTAATAAACAACGGACAAAAACTTAAAAATAAAATTTCATTTATATTAGAATAAAGTCCATAACGCAAAGATACGCACAAAACATACATAAAAGCAATAATAAGAAAGCAATATTGAAGCATTTACAACTACATGAAAGAACTTTAAAAAATGTTTAAGTTGTCATTTAAAATATTAACAATAAATTTATCAAATAAATTACGATTTCACTTTGAAATACTTAATACACAAATTAGAACATAAATTCACATTCTGAACTAACTAAAATACTTAATTATTAACTGATAAACTTTTCATTTAATTGAAGTAATACTAACATTAAATTACAAAAATTACTTAAATTATTTTACAAATTTACTTTTATTAAGCATTTTATGATAACAAAACTGGAATCTGAAATTTTACATGCAATTAAGTGAAATCAAAAAAATATATAACTATTCACTGCAAAATATAACATTATTTTTAAATTCTGAAGGTTCTAAAATAACCCTCCACTATAAATACAGGTATACATCACTTTTTTTTTCTTTTGTGTCTAATGTGTACAGATAAATATTACTCTATTTGGATCACTTTTTAATTCTTAAACAAAAATGCATTATTAAAAATTGGATTAACATATTATTCCAAAGTTTTCATATTCCTTCCGTTGCAAGTTGAATGTGTAATAATTATGTGTAATTAATTATAAGTTGAATGTACAATAATAATTTCAATTAATTCATACTTTTTCCAATTATATGCAAATGTACATTTTTAAATGATACATACTAAGGAAAAAAGAAATTTTTATAAATAAAATAATAACAAATTTTCATTGCATTAGTCAGATTAAAAAAAGGAAAATTATATATATATATATAAATTCATTACACAGCAGCATTCATCCATTGATCATATAATTCAAATGTCAGAAGAGGTTCTGGTAAAGATCTCAGATATAACTTTAAAACACCTAAAATAGAAAAACTTTTTATCATTAATCACCTGAAACTTGAATAATAAACTGAATTCATAACAGGATTAATGAAAACTGATTTTGATGTACCAAGAAGAAAGCAGGTTAAAAAGCTGTACTCTTTTAAACTACAAATTACAGTTGTATACCGCAAAAAAAAAAAAAAAAAAAAAAAAAAAAAAAAATTAAATATAAAAAAAAATATGGCATTAAAAAGAAACTGCAATTTAATCGTAGAATGCAGATTTCACTTTAACACCTGAAATAATTTTAAATTAACAATTAAGATAGGCTTATGAATTTATAAGTTAGCCACCTAGAGATTATTTAATATAAAATCTTAAATTTAAAATGAGCTGTTAAAAATAACAAAATTAAATAACAAGTAAAAATTTGCTATGATTTGTGTTTTACTGTAAATTGATGCCATGTGGACACTTATGCATTTATTTAATACAGAGGAGATTGAATTATTCTAGAAGTAGTTATGCATTTATTTCAATGGATTGCTTACATATGTGGCTTGCAATAAATATTTTCTTCAAGTAACAGCATTTTTATTTGGCTAAAAAGAGAAACCTACAAATTTAAAATTCCACATTTATTTGTGATGTCTACACATTAATGTTTATTGAATGGGAGATATATAGTTAGGCAGGACCATTCCTGCCTAACTATATATCTCCCGGAGTCGGAGGTTTCAGCGCCTGTGTGCATGTTTTTTTTTTTTTTTTTTTTTTTTCCCTGCACCTTTATGTAATTATAAATATATAATTTACTCATTTATTTTGGCCTCTGGAGGGGACTTTTTTACAGCCTTTTGGGGAGGGAAGTCATTGGATAATGTATTTGCTCTCACACAGGAAACTTCCACTTTAGAGGATACAGTGAATTCAGCACGCCTAAATTTTGCTGCCTGCATTCGCTGCACAGCTGCCAGGTCAAGAATGGCCTTGTGGCTAAGTATGAGAATCTTTTAGAAGACATAAAATATTTATGCTTGTATTCTTATAAAAAATTCTTTTTTTACGTCACTAAAATGAGATTTTCAATTGTGAAATTTAGAGATATTGAAAACTCTATGTAAATTGAATTGGCAATAAAAATTCGAAGCACAAAAAAAGTACATATCTAGTAAGTCATTATGAAAAAATATCTAAAAAATCTACCAAGAACACTTTTTAAAAAAAGAAAAACTTAACAGAAATGTTTGATTTATATAAAAAAGAATGAATTAATTGGGAAATAAACCGCTTCAGAGGGCACAATTAAAAATATAACACCTGTTTTAATACTTTTCAGAATCAAAAATTATAACAAGAACCTTTAGATGCTCATTAAAATAACGACATCCGACACAAACTTTGTGTTTGATGTCATTATTTTACACTGCTTCACCACTTTTTTATAACCATCTCATCAATATTTCCATTGGGCCACATTTTGCCCTTAATACAGCATTAATTTTTCTTCGCATGGATTCTACGAGATGCTGATAGGTCGTATGTGAAATATAAGACCATCCTTAATGAACAACACTTTCTAATAGTGAGAGACTGGACTGTTGTGTAACTAGATAACTGATGGCTCTTTTAACCTCAACCCCCAAATGCTCAATGAAATTGCGATCTGGCGATTGTGAGAGGACAACTATGCAAAGTTAACTCCCCTTCGTGCTCCTTAAACCAATCCTGTACATTAATGCTTTTCAAACCAATTCTGTACTATGGTAGGAAGCATTATCTTATTGAAAGTAGCCATTGCTGCTGGGATAATCCATAAAGCATAACAGGATGAATTTAGTCAGTAACTATGTTTAGATATATGTGCTATTCCAAGGTTTATCAACAGGAATTAAATGGTCTAAAGCAGGGATGTCAAACTCATAGGTACACTTGGGCCAAACAAACAAGGTTTAACTTTAGGCGGGCCGCAAAAAAAAAAAAAAAAAAAAAAAAAAAAAAAAAAATCAATATTCATAGAAACGTAGATTTATTTCGAATAATACAATAAACATACATATATATTTATATAGAAAAGAACAAGAAAAATTTAATGTTTACGTCCTGATACTTGACATCTCTTCTCTGCTATTATCTTTCCTATTTCGGGAGAAATTTTGTTTGCAGTGATAACTTTCAACGCTGACCCAAGGTGAGCATCATTAATACGGTTTCTAATAAGAGACTTATTACCTTTCATGACTGAAAATAACTGCTCGCACCGATAAGTGCTACCAAACATGGAAATAATTTCATATGCAAATTTTCGAGTATTTTCAAACCTGGCTGGTAAATATTTGTAAAATTCAGGCACGCCCACTTCAATGAATTTTGCTTTCAAATTTGAGTTGCATTGAATCTCGATCACCTCTAGTCAATACTTATTGAGAAAATCGAAGAAAACAAAAAAAAAAAAAAAATTTGTCTTCGAGGGAACTAAAATCATTAAACCTCGTTTCAAATTCAGTTGTTAAATTTGCAATTTTTTTCTGCGTATTTTTGATACGAACAAGTATCATCTAAACTTGATTTGTTCATGCTGCACGTCGGGAAGTGCATCAAATCTTCATTTTTAAGTTGTTTTTTCCAAAGAACTAGTTGACATTTGAATGCTTTAATTATGTCAAACATGTTCGTAATGATATGATCTTTTCCTTGTAATGATAAATTTAAATCAGTTAAGTGTTTGGTTATATCAACCAAGAAAGATAAATCTTGTATCCATATTGGATCGTAAAACAAACTCATGTCTTGAATTTTTGTTTTTAAAAACTGACATATTTCTTCTTTCAAATCCCAGAATTGTTTGAGAATCTTGGAGCAAGATAACCAACGTACCTCGGTATAGTAGGACAAACCCGAATATTCACTATCTAACTCACTTACGAAAGCAGTGAATTGACGATGCTTTAAACCTCGAGATCTTATAGAATTTATAGCTTTTTTTATATATGACAAAACATTCTCCATATTTATTACTTTCGTGCATAGAACTTCTTGATGTATAATACAATGCATATGATGAATGTTTGAACCGTGAATTTCACTAAGTTTTTTTCTTAGTAATGCTACGAAGCCCTTGTTTTTTCCCGGTCATTGATGGAGCGCCATCTGTAGCTACAGAATTTAATTTTGCCAAAGGTAGATTGTATTTCTGCAGAAAGTCCAAAAACACAAGTAAAATATATCTTCTCCTGTGGTAGTACCAGGCATCGGTATTAGTTCCAGTAATTCCTCAAAAATGTTAAAATTCTTGTCACACAAGAACGAAGAAACACTGCTAATTGAGCTTTGCCACTAATGTCCGTGCTCTCGTCACAGGCAATGGAGAAACTTTCGAAACTAGATGATTTTGCTTTGATCTGATCACTGATCACTTAAATTCGCGGCTAAATCAGTAACTCTTTTTCCGCAACTGTATTTCGAAACAACTGAAATTGATTGAAAAGCCTTCACATTTCCAGGACAAACAATTTCTCCAGCTTTTATTAGGCATTCCTTGATGAAATCACCGTCAGTAAAAGGCTTTGATTGTTTAGCTATCAACTCAGACAAGACGTAGCTTGCATGTACCGCCGTTTCACTTTCTTGCAATACTTTACTAAACATGGACTGTTGCTTTTTCACTCCTAACTTGAGCTCTTTCAACTTTTCTTCTCTTATTAATCCTTCGTAATTGTTATATTTCGATCTGTGTTGTTCGTAATGACGTTTAATATTATATAACTTTGGTACATTAATAGTATTATTACATATCAAGCAGATCATTTTATCTTTTATTTCACAGCAAAAATATTCTAATTCCCATTTTACTTGGAATATTCTATATTCCTCAGCGATGTTTCGTTTAATTTTACTACCACTTGGTTTTGATATAGACAAATACTGAATACAAAGGGCTGGAATAAACACGGTTAACATTAAAAAGTTAACAAAAATTTATTCTTTCCACAAGAGATAAATCAAAATGCTGAAATATTTCTTCAAAAATATTCTAACAATATCAAAAAATGTCAAACATTTAGCAAAAATCAATTCAAAACAGAGAAACTAATTCTATCTCACAGCGAAATCACTACAAATCAATCACAGCATTAAGTAAACAAACAGTTCGCTAGAACTACAGCTACTACTGAGATGAGTTGTTTGTTCTCGGCTTTTATAAGCTTTATAATTAATTTCTCGAATATACTGGAAACATCTATAAATATCTGGATTTTTGTGGATGGCAACAGCCATTACAAGATATTTATTTCTTAGGTATTAAATGCACGCGCTGTTCTATTTTTAACCTAACGCAGCTGTCTTTTCAAAAATCGTCTGCGTTGCTAAGGCAACATGATCTAATTACAATTCTAAATAAAAAAAAAACTAACTAAATAAATAACTATGAAATCCGTAACAATATGAATTAAGTAATAATTAATAATAAAACAAAGTGCATGCACATGCATGCATCAATATATCGTACAAAACTATGATTGGAAAACTGAGACCATGAGTTCGGCCACATTCGGCTATCGGGGGATGCGTACAAGTTCTGAGTGCACGTGTCCCCCAAAAGCCGAAGGTAGCTGAACACAAGCTACTCACACGCATTTGTAATTTAAGTAGTGTGTGTGTCAGCTCGCTGTGAGTAATCTAACAACACTGAATAAATTATTGTTAATTACTTAGCAGTAAACATTTCATTTTTTAATTCGTCGATGTCATTTTATTATTATATATTATTGCCGATATATTGACCGGGCCGCAAAAATATTTGTTGTGGGCCGCATGCGGCCCATGGGCCGTGAGTTTGACATCCTTGGTCTAGAGCATGCCAAGAAAACATTAACCAAACTATTACTAAAAACCTTCAGCTTGAACGGTTATAACAATTTACTTAGTGTCCATTCCTTCATGCTGTTTTCTCAAAATTCTCAGTCTCCCATCTGCATGGTGTAACTGAAAATGTTATTCATGAAACCATATAACATCTTCTAATTATACACTATTCAATCCCTGTGCTCCTGAAGGAATTTGGGACATTCTATCTTGTTAGCTGCAGAGAAAACAGTTTGTCTGGAGATTCTGTAAGATGATGCTTGATTACAATCAGCTGCAATTTATTGCACTGTTACCATTCTGTTATCTTTTACAAATTTAGAAACTCTTTGTTTTGGTGATAATCACAAATTCACATTGAAACCCAGTTTGTTTGACAGGCCAGTCCAGACTTATACTCTTCAACACTTTGAAAATGCAGCAGTTTCTTTGATACTCACTTCGTGGATTTGAGCTGCTACAATTATCCTATGTTCAAAGTTCATAAAATCGTGTTTTTTCATCATATAATTGCACACAATTCACTTATATTATTGTCTCAGAAACTAAAATTTCTTCCTTTACACTAGACCTTTTAGCAGCAACAGTATGACACTATAGCTAATTTGCTTAAAACTGTCAGAAGCCATAATAAAGTAGTCACATTGAGTAATTTCAACAATAAAAATATAATAATAAAATTGCAATATGAATTAAGATTTGAAACATACAATTTCTGTCTGAAAACTTTCAATTTTTGCATTATAATATATAACAAGAAATAGTTATGAAAAGAATTCTCTTATTTTAATTATTAATATACCTTATTTTATTAATGCAGTGAGGCTAATGTTAATCTGCTACAGAAATAAGATGCAAAAATACCCTATGCAATTTTAATGTACCTGCCACATTATGAGGATCTCTATCTTCTTCAATCAAATGTTGAAACCCAGCATCGAAAGCACTCTGAAAGCAGTAAGAATATATTAGTTCAATAATAATTTAATATCAAACCTAAAAATCGGAAAAAATTTATATTAATAAAATACCAAATTATGTGAATTACACACCTTCATTTTCTTAATTTTTATCATACTTCCCCCAATTCTAAATAAGCCCTAGAAAAAGGAAAGTATAAATTTTTAATAAAAAGGCAGAATAATGTTTTTATGTACAAATATTCATGAATAAAGAATAAAATATTTGTTGTCATATAAAAATTTACAATAAGTGCACTTAGATGAAGGCAAAGTTAAGCATATAACACGAGGAAAAAATATTCTATTAAAAACTGTAATATTATTTAAGAAAAATCAGATGAAATGTTTCTAAGTTAGCACCTCTTCTTCCATTGCTGTTTCAAGGAGCCAGCAAACACATGTCTCAATTACAGTAGCTATTTCTCTTTTAGTTACTTTCAAATGTTCTTTTAGAGAGACACCAAACACAGGCTGGTAAGGACATGAGCCTATAAAGAAAAAAGCAAAAGCAAACTGAGTAAATGCCAATTTATTTAAATATTTCTGAATCTTTCTGTTTTACTATACATATAATTCAAGAGGTTATAATAAGATAAAGTTGTAATTTTAATACTGAGGACCAGTGGTGCAGTGGCTAGCGCATTGCGCAGCAGCACCACAGGTCCTGGGTTCGATTCCCGAGCTCGGCAAGGTCGACTCAGACTTTTATCCCTTGATTTCCATCACTTGGGTTGATAAAATGAGCACCAAGTTTGCTTGGGGACTAAACACTGGGGGTCCTGATAAAAGCTGACCACTTGTTCAGAGCATATGCTTACGCACCTCAGGGCCCATGGTCAAGAAAGCAGATTTCGGGCACTGCAGGCCTTGGCCCATTATGCCATTGGCCTTGGCCCAGGGCTGTTATGCCACTGAGTTTAGTTTAGTTAATTTTAATTGGAAATGATCTTTTTATGATCCTGAAAGCTAACAATAATCTTCCATATATTCTACGACACATGTAAAATAAATATTTACAAAAACTAATCTTTTGATGTCTACCTCATTTTTTCAATTTCTTGAGTTATGTTAGAATTATAAATATCAAATTATCGTATTCAGGGAGTTCCAGAATAAAATTACGAAATGGTAGGAGTACCTTCTAAGACTGACAGTAAAGAAAAAGTTAAAAATCAGTAGTAAAAGCATTCGGAGACTAGCTGTTTTTGAATCTTGTTTTTACCAAGTATGCAACGAAAAATTACAATATCGTTTTTACCTAATTCTGGCAGCTACCTGAGGATATTGTCCAATGGATCTGCAGCATCATGCATGATCTCGACAGTTAGCCTTTGCATCCATCTGTCATGATACTGAACATCTGGAATCTCACAAATTACGTATTTGCTGTTGTATATTTATAGGAGATTTTTTTACTTAAATTCAGCCTCTGAATATCTGTTCCCAGTTTAGCTTTATTTTGAAATATTCTGTATACTGAGCTATTTTATATAAATTCACTAGTTACTGATGGTCAGTGTCTTTTAACTTATTAACTATGTGCCCATATGTATTCACATGATACATTTTATTTATCTTCAGGCTATTAAATGCACTGTTGAAACTCGACAACTTTATTCTTTGGCACCTTGTGTATGTACATATGAAAATGCCAAATAACAGATTTTCTTTTTTTGGTAGAAAGAATTCAGTCCTTTTTTTTTTTTTTTTAATCAGATCAAAAATAAAAATTTTAAGTAAATAAATAATTTACATTCATAAAATTAAAACAAACCATGCAATAATTTTTCTTCTCCCTTTTAATTACAGTTTTAACAACTTAACATTTTTTATGACTGCTACTGCATGAAATAATGGCATTTTAAAAAGAAATATAGATATATTCCCAGATTATATTATTTATCACCTAATTCTTATAATTCTTAATTCTTTTTCTCTCTCTCTCTACATCTTAAAAATAATGTAATTCTTTATTATTGCACAATAACAGCATAACTAAAATTCACAAATCAATCAAATAATTAATAGGCAATGTGTAAATACATCAAAACAAATAAAAAATACACACTAAAACTATCAACTATAGAATAGCAATTTCAGATCATAGCTTTTCAGGAAAGTGCTTAAATTTCTTAATTATACTCTTAATATGAGTATTGAAGAAATATAAAAAGAATACAAAATGAACTAACAATACTATCTGCATATATTTTTTATAATTAAAACCATCACAATTAAGATGTAAGCTCCCTGACTTCTAAATGCAACATGAGTTATTATACACATTTTCTGCAGAAAGACGTGAAAAAAAAATAATAATAAATTTAAAAAAATCTCAGAATAGAAAAGTTTCTATCTGTAACAAATATCAAAATACCTAATTTATTAGTAGTTCCTTTTTATCGTAATGATTCTATAAGTATTTGATGAAATTTCCAAAGAGAATCATTTTTGTAGTGTCTCAAGATTTGTAGGCAAGCCCACACCATAATGAAACCATCTGAAAAACCACACAATATGACTCTTTTTTGTAGTTTCTTTCTAATCATTTCTCAAGTGTTTCCCTCTCAAATGAAAACCTCTGAATTGATAGAAGGCATCAAATTTCAGCATTATATACTGTCTTAAAAGTTTAAAATTTTCTTGCACAACTTGCTTTTATAATACACAGTATACTGATACACTATCAGGCCAACAGAATCTAGACAACTAGTGGTACAGACTCGGAAAGACCTAAGGCATATATTAATATGATGTTGGTCCTCCTTTTGCATTAATGACAGCCAGCACATGTCTGGGAGACTTTCCATCAGTTTTTGATGGGTAGCCATAGGATATGAATTCCAGAAACAGCTGATGGTCTATTTTGCTGGCTATGCAATCTACACTCCAGTTCATCTCAAAGGTGTTCTATGGGATTTAGATTGCAGCTCTGAGAAGGGTCAGGCCAGTTTTTGAACACCCATTTTGTTAAACCATGGCTGCAAAATTCTTGATGTGTGAATGGAGTAGTTGGTACTAGAAGAGAAATGGGCCTTCTCTGAAATATTGGCTTAGAGTTGGAAGAGCAGCACTGTCCAAAGTGTTCACAGGGGCGTAGCTAGAGGTGGGGGCAAGGGGGCATCTGTCCCCGGGTGCAGAATCCAAGGGGTACCAAACTGATGTTGAGACATTTTAGAATTAAATGTTTTCCATCCTTGGCAAGCAGTAGGGGGTGCAAAATCTTCAGTTGTCACTGGGCGCTGAAAACCCTAGCTTCGACTCTGATTGTTCAGATACATTTCAGAGTTCATGTTTCCAACTACAGGAACTAAAGGACTCGGGCAAGCCCACACCATAATGAAACCATATGAAAAACCACACAATATGAAGCCCACACCATATTAATGCCACCACCAAACTTTACAGTTGGAATAATGCAGTCACTTAAGAAGCGCTCGCTGGGCATCTGCCAAACCCAGACACGTCCATCAGATTGCCAGATTGTAAAGCGATATTCAACACTCCAAAGGACACTTTTCCCCACTGCAAATGATACTTTGCATTCAGAGGGATCACGTTCGGTTAGTGAGTGGCTGCAAAACCATGGAATCCTAGGTTTTTTTAACTCTTGAAGACCAGTCCTGCTGCTAGCACTAATGTCTGATGAACTTTGGAGCTCCTGAGAGATTTCAACTGACAAGGACTTGGGATTTTGTCTTACTACCCTTTTCAGAGCTCTATGGCTATGTTCACTAATTTTTTTTTTTTTTTTTTTTTTTTTTTTTTTTAAGTTAAGTTTTACTGCTTTGACATTTCCACTTCACAATAAGATCATTCGTGGTGGATTTTAGCTTCTATAGAATGTCTGAAATCTCATAAACTGATTTCCCACAAAGGTGGCATACCCACTGTACTGCCATGATCAAAGTCAGTAAGCTCTTTGACTTTGTTTGTGAGATAATGACATACTCATTGTCTCACAAACAAATAATATCACATGACACTTTTACAGGTTTCGGCTATGCATCAAATTATGTCAGTTGCTAGATCCACTTTTTAGGGGGGGGGGTCTGGATAGTTTTGGCCAGATAGTGTGTTTCTCACACTTTTATCAAATGTGTGATCTAGTTCTGATATCTCGAAACATGTTTGCATAGATGAGTACATATTTTAAAACTATCAATTTAAACATGGGTAGATACCAGATATAAGCAAAGAGGAATTAAATGGAACTAAAACAAAGAAGTCAATAAATAATCCTTTTTTTATTTTTAAAGTTAGAAAATATTTAACATTAAAAATTACATAATATTAAAAAGTAACAAACTGTTCTCAGCTTCGTAATTAAATAAAGGTAATATAAGCATACTATTTTTAAATGCCATAGATTTGATTGTCAATTATTTCACGTAAATTTCTTTGACACACTTGGAAATAACATGAGAAAAAATTATTCATGAGCATGTAATTAAGATATAATTTTAAGAAAAAATAGAAGATTAAAACTCACTTATCTGAGCTTTTAATTCAGGCAATGCAGATTCAAGCATATAAAATGCTTTTTTGTGGTATTCAAGTTGTAACTGACATAATTTAACAAACAACTGTGACATTTCTGGCTCACGACTGATTAGATTAAACATTTCTGCAGTCAGAGAATCCTGCAAATATCAATATATCAGCATCAGAAAAATTAATATTAGTCATACAAAATAAAATTATGCAGTATGCATTTTTTTAAACAAGAAATACCATTTTTTGCATGCATTATTATCTACTAAATTATTTTCAAATGATTTTTTACATATAAATAGACATAATCACAAACCCAAAATAGATGCATACATTTGCCAATTTAATAATTGGCAAATCTGATTTAGTATTAAATAGTAATTTAGTATTAAATATTAATACTAAATTGAAGTGTACCAATTATTTGACAACATATTACAATTGTCGTTTTGGATAGAACAGTACAGTACAAAATTAGTAATCCGGACTCATCGGGACTTCGGCCATTCCGGATTAGGGGTTTTTCCGGATTATAGATCATCAATTTAAATCTGGTAATATGGCATGCAGAAATTATACAATTAAAAATATGAAATCATTTATGAAATAAAGAACAATTATGATCTAAAGGATATCAAAATTTACAAAAAAAAGCTGAATATTTATTTGTTTACTTTATTAAACATTTCTTTCAATGTAAGTTGTTTAAGATACTTTCACAAAAAATTCAAAAAGTTCCTTTTTCTTGTGACATATATAGTGGACTTTCCAATGCCATACTTCTCGCATAATTTTGAGACGGATAGGCCTTTATCCATTTTTTGCAGCAATTCCACTTTTTGTTTAATGGACATAGAAACATGCTTTTGCTTTGTAGATCCCTTGGCAGCTCCAGAATTGGAAACTATTTTTGACATAATTGAAAGGTCAAGCTTAATTATTATAAAATTGTTCTAACAGTCTGCAAAAAATAATACATTAAACGCGCATGCGTAAATGCATTATGCGTTTACGCATGCGCATAAAGTTTGCAGCATTGAGGTCCAAATTATGGACGTCTGGATTACAGACTTTGTTGCAATGTTTTCAAGTACAAACTAATTTTTAAAAGGTTAAGATAATTTTATTTAATACATTTTAAGAGACCAAATAATTACATGAAAAAGTCATAACTATTTTATTAATACTGCAAATTTACTGAAAAATTACTTACTTTTAATAAATGAAAGTTTACTATACTTATGCTACCTCAAGCAGAAAAAACTCTGATGTGGACACTACACCATTTCCTTGTATGCTCATTAAATTGAGCATACTTTTTTTTTCTTGAATTATTCTATCCAATTAACCAATTTCTCAAGGAAAATTTAACATGACACCAAAAATTGCAAATTATGAAATTAAATAGCCTGGTCTATTTTTAGTATACAGGAATCAAGTTTTTTAAATTTTTGTTTTTTCATAAATGAGTATAAAACTTTCCCATACATAAGGATACCTCTATGACCAACGATTACAAACATAACAAACTTTTAAGACAGGTAAAGTGTGTGTGTGTGTGTGTATATATATATATATTACAGTATCACATACTTTTGGTACTGCTGATTGCAATAAAAAAAAAAGAGAGGTTGTAGAGCCATTAGGATTTTTTGGAAGCAGGAAAGATGAAAAATATGCAAGGCCATCCCTGGGAATCGAACCACGGACCTCTGGAATAAGCGCCCAGTGTGCAGAACACCACACCACGAAGGCACGCCAAGAAAGTGGGAGAAGTACCTTATATACTGCCCCTTTTAAAGGGCAACCGGGGTTTCTAGGGAACATAATCGCCAAATCCTGGGTGTGGAGAGTCATCATCCACTACCCTTTTAGTTTGGGTGCCACCAGACTACCACACCACGAAGGCACATCAAGAAGGTGGGAGAAATACCTTATAAGTTATACAATAGCATATTATAGCATTCTCACATACACAATTTCAATGTTCCACAGCTAATCATATTTCAATTAAATGAGATACATACATAGGTACATACAAAAGTCGCAAAGAAAATCCATTTATCTCTTTTGGAATAAAGAATTCTTTATTCTGTCTGTACATACAGACATCACCCAACAAAAATAGTCAAAATGGACATTTCCATCAAAATCTGAAATTTTTTGTGATTACAATATTCCTTTCACTTCAAGGAAGTAAAGAGGTTATAGTGTTTTCTTTAATAGGAATTTGTAATCATAAATGTAATGGGATCAGTAGAGGGGGACTAGATTCACTGCTTTCAGCTTATGGGAAAAAATCATTCATAATATCAAAAAATATCTTCTTAAACCTCACATCCAGATTAAATTATTAAAAACTATGCATAAGAATACAATATGCAAAAGAATTTAATATGAAAACAAAATATCCAAAAACACTGTTTAAGAAATTTGCTAGCATTCTGCATTTAAATTTTTCTTAAAGACAATATTTTTCAAACATGTTTAATAAATTGTAAGTATTGCAAAAGTTTGAATATTTTTCACTTGAAAGGAAATTAAAAAGAAAGTGGAAAATTCCTTTTAAGTTGGGATAAGGAAAATTATGTATATAACAGAAAATCTTTGAAAAATATACTATATTTAATAAGAAACATACCCGGCACTGGTCAGCTCTACTTGTTATATCTTCAGCTTCTTCTTTAAGAAGTTGAACTTTAGCTGCAGCAGCAGCTGCTCCATTACCTGTTGCTTGCTGGCTGCTTCGTAAAGCACTTTGGTACCTTAAAAAAAAGTATGCAGCTTTTGTTGAAACTATGAAAAGCAAATGATGTGCATGTAAATTAATTAATAATGAATTAATAAATTACACATTTTATTTTTGTATTATTATGTACATAATTAATAATACTAATACTTATTATGCCTCATTAATCACTGAAAATTAAAACTTAATGGCGTCAATGCTCTAATGTTTAATTTTGAGCAAACAATGTATTACTTCAAAAGAAGTATAATGAAATAAGCTGTGACTGAATATTACTCATAGATCTCAGAATGTAAGATTTGCCACTTCACTATTTGAATTATTATTACAAACAGTTTTTAATAGTAGACAGACAACTAATAACTTAAGTAACTGAATTTGTAAGAAAAACTAATCCAATATGAGTCTGGCTTGTAGCAAGTTCTCACTGCTATAGAATAGTAAAACAATTCTACCAAAAATCCGACTTCAGTGATGTCAGTGAAGTCAGATTTTGTCTAGCAATCGTTTTACTCTTCTGCAGCAGTAAGTAGTACTTGTTTCTTGCTGCCCAACCGAAATAGTGGTTAAAGACTCTGACCGCTGTACTTGAAGGGCCCGATTTGAATCCTGGAGAAAGCATGGATGTTTGTAAATGTATAGTGCCTGTGCAGCATGGCAATACTTTAAATATGTGGTGAGCTGAAAGTCTTCGTGAGGGTATGGTGGTAGAGAAAAAAATAGATGGGAGACCCTTGGGTGCTTTCCCTCAAAATTGGGGGTGGAAGTGAGCTAAAGTCAGGCAGTCACCTATATGGTGCTGAAGACTCATGCCAACAACAAGTGTATTTGACTTCTTGCCACAATGAGTGTTGTGGACTGACCATTGTCAAGCAAGTGAGATTGGTTAAACAACAACAACTTGTTTATTTTGGTACAAGAGAATACTGTTAATTTTAATAATCTGATAGCTGGCTAAATAAGCATATCATGATGTTTAAAATAAACTATTTGGAAGAAACACATGTTAAAGTCAAAAGTGGACTAAAACCAATCTTTTTTGGCTATTATACCAGAGATAATTTATATCCAGTTTTATATCTAAATTCTTTTATTAATATTCTAATATTTGAAAAACAGGTTTAGCAATGACAATTTCAAATCTTTTCATTATATTATACAAACCCATATGAAAAGATATTCAAATTTAAATATTTACTATAGTAATATTTATTCTCATAGAACATGTGCATCTTTATTTATACTATTTCAAAAATCATTGGCTGTAAGAGAGTGTACAGTCAAAAGTCGTTAATCCGGACTCGTCGGGACTTCGGCGATTCCGGATTATCGATTTTTCCGGATTATAGATCATCAGTTTAAATCTCGTAAGATGGCATGCAGCAGAAATTCTAAAATTAAAAATATGAAACCGTAATTTATGAAATAAAGAACAATTATGATCTAAAGGGTATCAAAATTTACAAAAAAAAAGCTTAATATTTATTTATTTACTTTATTAAACATTTCTTTCGGAAGCACTTCCGCAGAGAACCCGGTAAATGTAAACATCGCCAACTTTGGCGATAATAGTTCAAACCTGGTAACCCATCGGATTTATCCTATTCGCTTGTTCGAAGTTTGCAACCATTCTTCTTGTGTTTTGTTGAATTATTACTGTCCCTGTTCGCATTTGCAGATTTACATTATTCTTCTGTTATTTATTATTATTTTTTCTGAATTTTTTAACAACGAATAGATAGAAATATTTTCGTAGTTAGATGCCGGTTCTCAGTTCGGGATGAAAGGAAGAAAATACGGCGGGAGGGGTGAATGCTAATTTGTAACACAGCTGTTTACGTTGTGTTCTTAATTATTAACAGCGCTAAGAAACATGAGGTTTCCAACCTCTAAAATAAGTCAAAATGTGCATTTTAAATAATTAAGTAATGCTTTTATTTTTATTATTGGTCATTGTCATCTAAAATTATGAGCATAAATCAATTTTTATGGCTTAAAATTTTAACAAGATTATATATTGTTAATGCTTTTCTAACAATAACCTTTCAGAGGATGGCAGGTGTGAGATAAATACATGATTAAATTGAAATAAAAAATATTATTGATTACCTAAGATGACAGAATAGTTTGATGCATCAAAATTGTTGTTTTCTGTGTTAACTGGAATTTAAGACAATTTTTTTTTTTGTATATCACGTTTAACCGGTTAATTTCAGTATATTAATACTAATTTATATTTTTTAAATGAATTTTTATTTCCGTTATAAACGCTTAATATATTCTTTTCTGTGGTAACTTGAATTTAATACAAATTTATTTTCGTATATCACGTTTAACCGGTTAGTTTTACATCTACATGCTTATTATCTGTGAATTTTTACTACCATATGCTTAATATATTGTTTTGCCTGCTAATTTCAACTTACATGCAATAAAAATCACGTTTACGGCTCGGCTCATCGTCGATGAACCGCGAGCTTGGCGAGTAAAAATGCAACGGCGCCAACGAGTTCTCTGCGGATGAAAACCCTTTCTTTCAATGCAAGTTGTTTAAGTTGCTTCGTTTTATGTGATAATACTTTCTCTTTAATTCTATAAACAGACATAATTTCTTGTTCGATTACAAAGTTCCGCTGTTCAAGTCCCGTTAATTGCTGTGCCGAGAATACCGACTAACTTGTCAATCGAAATTTTTTCGTTTTCACTAACCTCTCTGTCACATTCTTCATGCCTTTATCCATTTTTTGCAGCAATTCCACTTTTTGTTTGTTGAACATCGAAACATACTTTCGTTTTGTAGATCCTTTGGAAGTTCCAGCATCGGAAATTCTATTTGACATAATGGAAAGTTCAAGTTTACTTTTATAAAATTGCTCTTACAGTCTGCAAAAAATAATAAGCGGGATTCCAATTCGAAGATTAAGGAAATAACGCAATCATGAACATTAACTGAAATAGATTAATTAGATAATTTTAGCTGACACCGTCCGTTATACATTAAACGCACAGGCGAAAACGTATTCTGCACTTGCGCACACGCATATGCGCAGTAGTGAAGATCTTACGCGCACGCGTAAAACGCTTGTGCGCATGTCCCAACGCGGCGCATGCGCAGAAAGTTTTTAGGTTTTAGGTCCGGATTATAGATCATTCCGGATTATGGGTGTCCGAATTAACGACTTTTGACTGTATTACAACTTTCAGAAATAACAAAAATTACAAAAGAAGTCACTGCAATGTAAAATAATTACTGCAATGAATACAGAATGAGTTAATAAAAAATAGGTTATATGAAAAAAACTTTGAAACAACTTAAAAGAAAATGAAAATTCTGCAAGAAGTACACAAGAGATAAAACCAATTCATCATTGTACTGATGGCCCAGTGGTTTGCAGAGTTCTTGGAGATTGCACATACAAAGAATAAATTAGATTTACATTAGGCATTATATTTAGAAATGCAGATCGAAATGAAAGATTATAATTATTATCACATGTTAAATTTAACTGAGACAGATTCATAACAGGCCTCTAATTAAAAAAATTTAAAAACTTGAAGCCTTTTCCAGTACAAAATATGTTTTTAATGTTCAAAATTTTTTTCTGCTTAAAAGCGAGAATTAAAATAAAAGGCAGAAGTATGGTTCAATGAAAAAAATCTTAACCATCCACTGAAGTAACATCTGTTTCTAAAAGTTCAGTAAATCGGATGCTTCTAAAATTGGTCAAAAGATGCTCTAATTTTGTTTGCACTACAACACGAAATACATTATCTCAGATGATATTATTTAATTTTTTCCTCAAAGAGTATAGTAACAATAGTGTTACTACCGTATTGAATTTGGCACCGTAATTGAATTTGGCAAGTATAGACTTGCTGTAATTGAATTGCCAAATTCAATTACAGCAAGTCTACCGTAATTGAATTGCCAAATTCAATTACGGTAAATTTCACATATGTGGTGCGACTTTTCTGCGAATTTGTTTAACACAGGGGGATGATAGTTCAAAGAAGTATATGCAAATGATGGAATTTTATATTTGAAAACTTACCTCATTTTGGCTGATTCCATGTCCGAAGTGAGTTTAAAAAGTTGTTTCCGGTACTTCATTACCTTGTTTATATCAATCTATATAAGAAACAATGATTATAAAATGACCAAGAAACTAAAATTCAGAAACAAGTTAGTTAGCTTCAGACAACTTATTATTTTTTCTACTTTTTTCAAGTTCATATTTTTTCCAAAAGCTGGAATGTATCTTGTCAAAATAAGATTTAGTAATAATTGGAGAGTTAAATTATTCTGAACTGGTTAAAAGGTTAATTAAAATTTCTATATAAATTTAAACTGGAAGGGGATTAAAATTAAATATTAAAATTACGTATTGCTATCAGTGCATTCTAATCATGTCCGTCTTGTATCACCCAAAATTTGAAATAACTTGTTACTTAGTAAATTTTAGTCAGAAATGAGTAACGCAGTTTCAGTATTTCTATGTTATCCAACATTTCCTATTATCCGGCTATCACTGGGTGTCACTTATATTGGATAATAGCGGCTGCTGTAACGATTCGATTTAATCGTCACTTAAAATCATATGGTTGTCATCGGTGATGGATTAAATATTGATTTTGAAGACCGTTATTGTTAGCAGCTGCCCAATAATTAAAAGAATGGAGTGATTTTTGAAAACCGATAAAATTACATACAGATTCAGCAAGGGAAACATTTATAAGCTTTACTTTTCAAGTTATCTGTCGGTACAAAGATCGAAATTCTGCGATGATTTATTTGATCCTTAATGAAGAATATATAAGGTACCCCCCTCCCCCCCCAAAAAAAAAAAACTGGATACCAATCTAAGATTTCAGGAAAGAGTTCTGATTAAACATTATATAAAGTATTTTTTCCTTCTCCATTGCATGCTCTTGTGTCTTGTGTCTTTAATTGGTACTACATTTGGTTAGAAATCGGAATATCCAGAGTTCGAATCCCAGCAAAGGGATAACTCATTTTTTACGTTCTTTGTTCCATAGTAAATACCTAATAGCTCAACAATTAAAACACATTAAACAAGAAAATTGTAATCTGAAGACCTTTACTTTACAGCTAATAACTATTAAAAGTGAACATTAAAAATTACTCTTATTATTTTTTTTTAATTTACCATTAAACGTTTTTTAAATGGGGAATGGGGGCTGATGATTTTATTTTAGTTACATAACATATGGCAATAGAAATATTTTTTCATTGATTACAAAATGTTCCTGTAATGTTTTATTGTAATCGCAAAAGCATATAAGTGGAAAATTTCAAGAACCTTGGGTGGATGAAAAAGATTAGACAACATAACTAACTTCAAGATTTGACCGGAATAAAGCAGAGAAACTAGGCTAATTAAAACCACATAAAAAATAAATAAATGAATAAAATCAATAAATTTGAAAGTTACGTTAAGTATATTCTGAAGAGGTTCTACAACATTTTCTTCAACTTGCACTTTGTAGGTGAGCAGATCATTAGCTAATGCTTCTTGAACTCGAGCATAATCAACTAGAGTCATTCTAATGAGAAAAAGAGAGAAAGAGGAAAAACTAAATAATTCGCTATAACTATATAAACCATTAAAAATGCTAATACGTTTATTTTAAAATTTAACATGAATAAATATATTTTTACCCTAAAATGGAATTTTCACCCAGCGAAAGACCCCATTCCTCCATGCATTGAGCAAGAGCAGCTTCCGGTATTTTTTTCTGCAAGAGAAGAGAAAATAAATAAAGGACATTAATCTTGGAATGGAAGAATTAAATAACATAACTATCAATAGTTAATTAGTGTGAATGTCGCGGATGAGAACATGTATTAAAACCTCATAAAATTCTTATTCAATAGTCATAAAGCTTGTGACCATTTTACATATGCTGGAGATCTATTATACAACTTATTTACACAGTCTGTTAGCATCTACAATCGTATACAGATCATGAAATTCTTTCTAATCTGACATGCTTTCGAGATACATCGTGTCCGTAGAAAACAGCAGAAGATCACACTGAAATATAAGGGAGTCTCACTTTTTGCTTTATCCGACATGTCGCAAAAACCGATCATGTACTAAAGTTTATTATTCACTGTTTTTGCAAAGTAGATAATCAAATTTTACATAAAAAATTTTATTTTCACTAATATCCATTACAATTTAGCTATTGCGTGACATTTAGTTTAAGTTAAGATTTTTTGAGCCTTTATGCCTAGTTTCATCGCGTATTTGCTAAGCCCAGAGGTTTATACAGATTTTAGAGCAAGCAGCTTAGTTTAAATTAAAAGGAAGAATTAAGACCAGTATACTTGTAGAAGAAATTTGACTGCTGCCGCCGCAGTCTACGTTGCCTAGTGAATGTCGCCGTTAGTAAACACAAGAAAAATATGAGTAAATGGTAAATGAATTGGTAAATATGAGTTTTGTTAAAGTTGCCGTTGACCAACCAAGCTGTTATTTGTAACGTCGAGAAGAAACACTAATGTTATAGTCCATTAAATCAAAGAATATGAAGGGGAATGAACCCAATTCAAATTCTATGGTTAAACTGCTGTATGCCTCAGTCAGTTCACTTACCAGCAGTCAGTAAATAAAGGCAATATTTTACAATTTGTGTATCTCTTGTTTCCACAGTCGCTTTAACACAAGGCAATGATTCGCTATTACAATAAAGATATCTCTTGAGGTTGAGGCTCAGTCGTGAGCTCTAAGTAAAGCTCATTCCAACTCATTCAGGGTTGGCAGAGATATTTAATTAGTTAGTATGCCACTTCTTAAACAGTTATAACCTTCTCTATAATGCACTCAGCAACTGTTCAAGACTATCCACATTTTCTAGAGAAATAATTTGAATATTAAAGGCATAAAATGATAAAATTCCTTACAGCTTCCAGTGTGCAGTAATTACGCTTATCTTTTTTGGTGAAAGATATGCAATAAAATGCTGTTTTTTATTTGTCAGTTCTATTTAAATAGCAGATTTCATTCATTCCGATTCTTTAAAAAAATAAAGACTCAGTTGTAATAAATACAATCTCTGAACGACAAGGTAGGTAAAAAAAGTACTTAGAAAAACGTGAGATAAATTCTGTCTTAGGCCATATATATATTTTCTATAATTATGGTAAGACTGTACATCAGAGTTAGCCATCTGCAAAGCAATCGACAACATATTCCCCAATAAACAGTTATGAGAAGGGAGAGGAACGACATTGAGACACTGGACTAAGAGAACTGGGACAAATATTTTGAAGGCTGCCGTCTAGTTTGTTCTGATTAGCTGTTAGAATTCCGAGAAGTGATTACATGTAGGCATGGACTAACAGCGAACAAGCTTCAGCTGATTTAAACAGACCATCAGCAGAAAGAATCTTTTGCACAGCACACAAGCATGAGCAACTCCAACAGTTTATTAGCTGCTCACTATCCACAGAAAGGTGACAATCTTATTATAGAAACCTATCTTAAACCGCCACCGAAATGGGATAGAGGTTAGCGACTCTGACTGCCAAACTGAAATGGACTCTGACTGCCTGGGTTCGAATCCCGGAGAAGCCATGGATGTTTGTAAGCCATAGATGGTGGTAGAAGAAGAGAGGTAGAAGACGCTCGGACCCGTCTCCCGGGATGCTCTCTCTCACAATCGGAGGCGGAAATGAGCTTAACCAGTTAACTGTGGCGCCCTCGTTTAAGAGTGCGCACCGTTTTGTGTCGCCAAAATCCAGCCATGACGAGTATATTCGTCAATCACAGAGTAAGTTGCGCTGATAAGATATTTGATGAATAAGATGGGTTTATTTTATAAAATTGAAAATTTTATTACAAAATTACGTAAGATTAAATAAAAAAAATAAATTAAATTCTGCTTGGGCGTAAATTCAGCGAAAACAGGGGTACTATACACAATGGGACTTTGCAAGTCGAACACCAGTAACGCGATTACTTTCTGATCTTACGTTAGTAGCAACGCAAACACCTTCGCGTAGGGTTTTTTTTTTTTTTTCCCTCCTCCCCGATGTTCCGGGTATATAATCCGGAACATGATTCCCGCCTAATTGGCTTATATTAGGTCTAAATGGCCGAGTTTGGTTCGATTTATTTCTTTCAATTGGATACGTCGCAAAAGTGTCTTCAATTAATTTGAGCAAAACGTTGATACGCGATAATGTTCCATTATTTTTTTTTTTTATATAATATGAATGCATTCAAACACATAATGTGTAAGAAATGGAGAAATATCTTTTTGTAGTACTTGAGTCGTTTTCTTGCTGTGGAATACGCTATGATAATTCTATCGCTCATATCCAGTCCACCCATTTTTTTATTATAATTAATCACTAGCTGCGGTTTCTTCGTTATTATTTTTCTTTTCTCTGTTTCTTTTATGTTGTCATAATGTACAGTACTTACTAAATAAACTTCCCTCTTATCTTTCCATTTTATTATACGCATGATGAATATACTCGTCAATACACAAAATCGTGCCGCTTCTCCATGATGAGTACACTCGTCAATCACATTTAACTGGTTAAGTCGGGCTATTACTAATAATGATACTCAAGGCTCTTGCCAAAGACAAGCGCATGACTCTATGCCACGATGAATAACATGGGCTTGTGCTGATCCTGTCAGACAAGTGAGATCGGTAACAACAAACATATCTTAGACCAAACCCTTTCCAAGCTCTAAGCGAAAGGATTTTGGTGCCACGGCGCCTGTTATGTGTCTTATTGAAATCTAGTATCCATTATCTTCGTCTGCAACGGCATCGTGAATGAGAAATCTGGTTTAGTGCAGAATGAAACCATAACATCTTTAGCAATGAATCTATGTTTCTTTTGGTAGACTATGATGTTGCGTCAGATCAACTTGAATGCCAATGACGGTTTAAGCACATGTACTACATATATGATATCACATATGTATGTATCGTATATGATACACATATATATCTTTTTTAATATAATCGGGAATAGTTCTTCATTTGTAAAATCTAACTACATTTCAAATAGCATAAAAACTGAGACTATGATGGTAAAAACCACGAAAGCCTTAAATAATCAACCCTTTTAGGAGTCTGGAATCGAACCTTGAACGAATTCTGTACGTTTAATATTTTTACCATTGTTTTGCTACAACACACTAAAACGTACTGCTTAGTAGGGCTTCCAAAATTAAATTGTTTGCTATTAAAATGCGAAGCAGTTCCTGTTAGAAAAACAGCGATGAAAAGTCTCTGTCCTAGCAGCAGACAACTAGTTGCAAAGATCCCTTTTACTATAATTAATCAACCACTTTAGAGTCTGACATTCACTAATATAGAAAACAAATTAACGTCTGAGAGATTTTCAATACCAAAGAATGCATTTTGGAAACAATGCGAGAAATCTTCTGCTATTTGTCTTAGTATAAAAAGATTCCGCATGCATAACTGATATTGAATTCTAACATACCTTTGTCAAAAAAGATCCATGCCATTTTTTTTTTTTTTTTAATTTTTATTTCTGAGTTTGCAGTACTAAAAAGGAACAAATGTTGTTTTTATGTTACATGGTATGTATTCTTACTTGACATGACCTTGCCTACGTTTCCACGCAAACTTACTAGGTGGTAGAGCTATGCTTAGAAACTGTCATATTCGTTAAGGTGATACAATGGGTGCAGATTGTGAGCTAAGTTCTGCGTTAAACTCGGGAAAACCCCTAGTGAAACGTGGAACATGATTAAGAAGCATATGCAGGCACTTTCAAGAAGTGTTTCGAAGTGGCACAAAAGGTTTCGTGAAAGCAGAGATTCAGGGCAAAACGAACTCAGAGCTGATCGGTCACCCATCTATAGGCACATACCGATGCAAACGTGGACCGTATAAGACAGTTATTGCAAGAAGACCGTCGTGTAACTGTGCGCATGTATTTGAATCGTGACGGGTGTCATAAGATTTTACGCGAAGATTTTGAGAAACGGAAACTTAATGCAAAAATCGTCTTTCACTCGCTAACAGATGAACAGAAAGAGGAAAGACGTATAATATCTGCTAAACCATTCGACTAAGCAAGACTTGATCCCACATATGTGTCAAAGATTATTGTGATTTTTTCTTATTTCTGTGAGTGAAAAGGTGACAGAAAGAAAAACTTCATCAATATTATTGCAGACATCCAACGGGCTGTGAAAAATAAGCTTTTCAAGCATCGCATTTGAAGATTTCTCAAGACCTCCAGAAATGTTAGCAGTTGCGTATAGATAGCTCAGGGAACTACTTTGGTAGCAGCTAGAATCATTACTCGGTAAATGCAATTTTCCATTTTTTACGACCTTTGTCCTGGAACCTTTCTGACAAAGGATATACTTGCGGGAGAGGAACAGAAGTAGGACGTTTACACTTGGAACTCCGCGTGTTTCACATTGGTAGAACTGAAGGCCAAATCCACAGATTTACTTTTTTTATATATAAAAAACGAATAAAATTCCACTTTCCAACACAAGGTTTATACAGTATTGTCAACATTCAGTCACATAATAAATAAATAAAAATACTTTAAACTAAATAAATACTAACCGAAAACTTCCGATCGGAGGAATCTTGCACGAGCCTCTGCATGCATGTTGAAAGCTTTTTCCCACTAGCATAACAACTTTCTTTGATCAAATCTACTCGTCTTTCAGCTGCATTTAGTTCTTCTGTTAGAACTCCGTTCTTATCACTCCTGCAAAACCAAAAATGATTCTAATTTCAAACAACTGCCAGAAATGCATAATAAAATAATACATTTAGAATTAATTATTGATAAAGAGATAAAGCAAGTAAACTCAGAGAAAGGGTAAAATAGGCAAATTCTTCATAAGAATATATATTAAAAAGAACTCCAAAAATTGTTTATTTTTTCTTTTGTTTTTTAATTGAATACAGTAAAACATACGACGGCTGTCTATCTAAGGGAAGGGATGCAATATTAGAGCATTTTCTATGGAAATACATTAATATTAACACGATAAAAAACATTTCCTGTCTCAGTTAAGTATAAATTAATTGTTCGACATAATCCTAATTCTCTTTTACTAATACAATAACTTCAAATAATTAAGAGTCACAAAATGAACAATATAGTAATACCACTTTACTCTTCAGGATTACATATTTGAAAATAGAGGATTAAACTTAGATTAAGTGCCGATTCTGAATATATGAGGAATATTCGGAAAATTAAGTATGATATATTTTATTAATTGAATATACAGAAAAAGGACTGGAAAGCATTTCTTCCTTTTATAACTCAGTCTTCCAATGCGATCTTATCAATCTTACCTGAATTTTTAGCTTCGGCTAAATTTAACCCCCAAGGCAAAAGAAATGGAAAATTTTCTGCATTGATTGCGCAATTAATGAAGCAGGACTTTTTTTATCTCATTGTTTCAGGACTTAAATTCAGCAAAATCGTAATTTCAGCCGGAGAGTTCCAGAACAACAAATAAGATAACTTCCGAAGCCCTGTAGTGTAAATGAATTATAATAAAAGCGGAAAATTGTGTTACCAATGCAATATTTCTCTTAGTAGTTAGTAAAACTCATACTGGTGGCTGATACTGAATCATGCCTAGTTTTTTCTGGGAAGAGCAAAATACGATACAAACTTCATCATCTGTGGAACAAAGCTATATTTCGAAGTCCTTCAGGATGATTCCATCCATTCAATCAAGACTTTAAATGAACTGGAAGCCAAAATATGAAAGGAACCTTACCACGAAAAATACTTTTATCCTCAGTGTACCATGTCTTTTTATAAATAATTTGTTAAATTTTTCATTGCTTTTGAAATTAATTTCATTGTTAGAATGCATTAGCTTAATTTAATTTATTATTCCTTTAATTTTCAGCAATTTATGTTAATTTATAAATATTATCACTATCTTTTTACATCTTAGTTAATTATAATTACAAATTATTTATGTTTTTAACATAAATAATTTGTAATTATTTAATAATATTATTTTATTTATTTATTTCTTTTCCCGCCCAGATAATTTCCCATAAGGCTCCAGCATTCTGACTTTAGAAATTAGCCTTGCATTGTCATTTATTAAACCTTTTGCTATCGAGTCCCATCTTTAGTATGCACTTAAAACCGTACTGAAGCAATAAGTAGACATCCTCAACATTGCCTCTTCATCTTCCGATAAATGTATGCTGCTTTCTCAACTTCAACACATCCAAAAACGAATATAACGTGCGCACTTCTTTTCCTACATGCTTCCAAGAGGGAAGTTATTTTGGACGTAGATTGCTGAAATCATACATCCAAAGGCCGACAAGATTATGCATATATAATACCGAAAGCTGTAGGATTTAATATATAGCACACTTCTTCCTACTATTTACTGTAATGTTAAGGTTAGTTTTTGACTCTATCGACGCAACTTAGTATAAAAATAACAACATTTAATCTAAAAATTTTGAACAAAAGCTTCCGAACAGTTTCTAAATCATGTATAGAATTCAAATAAATGCTTCTTCAAAAGTTAATGCTTTCCTTCTGCTTGAAGCCCATTAGTAGCCAAGCAGTAAAGTCGCTGAACACTGGTAGTTTAATTTGAGTTCAATTCCAGGCAAATGGGCTAGCTGCATGGCTATTTCCGTGGTTTTCCTCATGCGTATTGTGGATACAAGCCAGCTTCCTTTAGAAAGGCCTCAAGGCAATAAAAAAAATCCCTGATCTTAAAAGTAGATAGCCGTTGCATGCTTTTTCATAATCAAACAAACCAAAACCTTCAGCTCAAAAAAGCATGCCCTAAGTTTTTAGTTTAATGCACGTCGCTAAAATATTATTATCCTAAGTTTTTCCCTGAATGAAAACATCGTATTAGATTGAGAATGGGTTCTAGATTAAAATATAACAATGAAATATATTGGGCCTTTCTCCTATAATGAAATGCATGATTTTGATGCTACTGGTGCAGAAATTTCAAATCCATACTTTTCGAAAGTGGTTCGTTTTGTAACAAGGTACAAATTTAATATGCATATTTATTTCGAGGAATTACAAAATCACTACTAGACATATTGTAATAGAAAAACGTTATTTTTGAAAAACTGAAGCTGGAAGCACATGTAGTTTCAGATACATTGTAATCTCTTTCTTATTAAGATGGGCACCTATGAATTTGACGAGTAATGTAACTGAGAATGTAACTAAATTATAACACTGGAGATCACCAATGTTCATAAATCTTTAAAAGAAAAGTTTCCAAAAAAGATCAAAACCCTTGGACCCGTGTGTGGTTATTTTAAGTAGGTTTCTCTGTAGGATACTAAAAAGTATATAAATATACGTTTAAAGTTCTTATATCTAAAAAATGAACGCGTTTTTAAAACGTGGAACAATCAAACCATAAAGTAAAGTTAATGACAGTTTAAACTCCTGGAATTTCATGCTTCACTGGAAAGAAGACAGCAGAAACATTATGTTACAGCAGAAACAAATTTGAAACGTATAAATAAAAGAAATACCATCTATCAACGATATAGGATTAGTGAATCGGTTGACAAGGTGAAAAATTCAATACAGTCGGGAAAAATGCCCGAAGTAAGTTCAAGTTGAAAGCTTTCAATGAATCCAAAGTAAGTAAACACATATTTCAAAATGCTATAAACTTGATTTGAATGCTATTCTTTATACAGTTTATTTCAATGCACGAAAATCCCCAAAACGAATATTTTAAAATTGAACTGAAAACAAAAAATATCACGTAAGCCATTGGAACTTGAAATATAACAAAATGATCAAGAAGCTCTAAGATTTCATTTTTAATCATGTAGATTTATTTTTAGAACTTTGCAGCATGATAGAATTGAAGAAATCCTTTCGCCGGGATTCGAACTCCCGATTACGCGTCGAGCATGCTTCCAGTTACACCACGAAGGCATGCAGAAGAGAGGTAGAAAATACTTAGCATACTGCTCCCTTTAAGGGGTGTCTGGAGATTAGGGGACCAATCGACAAATCCTGGTGGTGACGAATTGTCGTCCACCACCTTTTAGTTCGGATGCCACTTGTAGTGAGAGTCTTTTAAAATTTTTCGATGTCGGGAAACTGAAAAAATCCGCAGTACCCTCGCCGAGAGTCGAACTCCGGACATCCCGAATACGCGTCGGGAGTGCATCCAGTTACACCACCATGGTACGTGGAGAGGTGGGGGAATAAAACCTTATAATGACATATAATGAAAGATATTGCTATAAGTTATAAAAGTATTTATTGAATTTTTCAACGTAAATTATTTTACGTAAATTTTTACTATTTTTCATTATAACATTTTCCCTCAATATATTTATGAAATTTCCTAACAATTTTCGCAAGAAAATGAATTGAAGGAAAAACAAAGTTCTTCGCACGGGTATATTTCTAGTTCTTTTTACGCCACGATATCTAGTTTCAAAGACGTTTTTAAATATCCAAGTTTTAAAAGAATATAAGATTGTTTGAGCTCTAATTTTAAATGTTGGTATGAGATATTCTAATTACATTTTAATGCCAAATACCATGCATAATGCAACCAGTCTCGGGAATATTTATATTTACTACTACCAGAATATCAAGATTCAGAAGTCAATAAGCATGCAAAACAAAACAAAAACATACCTGAACTTTAAAAGATTCAAGTAAAAATTTAGAATTATTCATGGTCTTTCAGTTGCTGGAAGATTATGTTACAGCTGGACCTATTTTCCTAAAGTTATTAAAAATTACATTAGTTCTGATAAAGCGCAAGATGACCAAAAACATCTGCATATCGGATGAGAAAAAAGGAAATATATGCTGATTTATTTTGTTCTGTTGTCTCAGTAATTTACTACTTTCTCTCGAATTCGTACGGTTTAAGATGCGAAAGATTCATCAGTCACTGTGGAATTGGGAAGAAAAAAAATTAAAGAAAATGTATTTTCATTAATATTATGAAATAATTTCTTGTTTAAAAACATCTTTTACTAATCATCTTTATATTAAATTACAAAAATAATGTACTTCTAAAATCAGGATATTTTAACATGAATAGCTTTTAGAAATATTTTATTTTTGAAACAACAATGCGAAGTGCTGCAAATTGTAGTAAAATGGCACGATTAAAAGCTCTGTAAAACATGGCAAATACAATTAAGTTTTGGTTAAAAGACCGAGAGGGTAAAGACGCAAATTTTTTAACTTAAAAAAAAGCTAAAGCGTGGAAAACTGATTCAGATAACGCAGTAAAAGAAACCCAGGGAAGAGAAAACCAGATATTATAAAATGTTATAAGACATCAGAAGCTATTTTAACAGAACTGATGTTATACTTTTTTGTACCGAATTTGAATCAAAACATATTTTTATAATATTCACGTACATTAAATGTACTCGGTTGAAAAATGTTATCTGTTAGAAAAATTAGATACAGCTAGTGCTTAAATCCTATCCATTCATTCTATCTCAAAACATATCGATGATGTTTTTCATCATGAAAAAAATCTAATGTGGACACCACATGATTCCTTTGTGTGGAATATCTGTAAACGCATGTTTCTGCAGCATTTCATTTAACTTATTTCCTCGAATTTCATTAGATATATTTCTCATTCAGTTAATTCAGTTCTCACTTCGCGGCAAGGCAAATATACATAAAACCTCAAAATATCGTCGTTAAAAATTGAAAAATATAGTAAAATGATAAAATCA